TAAAAAATAAATCTTTTCATTCATATTCATTCTTGTCCAATCACATTTTAATTAGGTGCTTGATAACCTAGGACTTGTTTGAAATTTTAATACTTTGGTTTCCTACTTAAATGTCCATCTCTGTCTCTCTATCTCTTTCTGTATGGTTCTTTTGCTCTGTCTCTTCCTACCTATCAATCTATCTTATATAGAGATTATTAGCTACATATTTGAAACCTTAGTATCAACATCTAGATCTGTTTCTGTTTATAGATGGATGGATGGATGGATGGATAATATACTGATAAAGCCTAGCCCTTTGATTCCATTGGTATTGGTATAGGTTCCTCCCAGAAAAGAAAACTTCCTCTTCTAATGCAGATTGACAACTTCCCATTAACCTGCAGTCTCTGAGAGTTGAGTAGATTAGTAAGAGTTTAAGGGACTCTCCCAGGATCAAACAATTAGTGTGTATCTGAGATAGGACTTAAATTCCAGGTCTTCCTGGTCCTGAGGTTACCTCTCTCCTATACCATACTGCCTCTCATATACTACATAAATGTACATGAACATGCATGTATATGTGTATGTATCTATAATACATGCATATGTATATGCAGCATACAACAATATGAGTTGCAGGCATATATAGTACATGTGCAAGTTCTATGCATGTATATATGCCTAAATATGCATGAAAAGAAGCAAAAGATAGTCCCTGTCTTCAAGGTGCTCACAATTAAATTGGGAGAAAGACCAGACAAACAAATACATACAAACAAGCTATGTACTAGATAAATAGAGCATGATTAAAAGAAGGAACACAAAATTAAGAGGGATTGGGAAAGAGTTTTATGAGAGATGGGATTTTAGTTGGGACTTTAAGAAACTCATGATCTATTATCAGGATCATTATGATGGCATGCTAATTGGTTTCCCTACCTCTTCAATCTCCCCTCAGAATATGTGCCAAATTCACATTCTTAAAGCACAGGATAAACAATTGCATTCTCTTCTTCCTGAAGCTCTAATGGTTCACTGTGGGTTTAAATCCCAACCCTTTTGTCATTTATCAATATCCATTATCTCTCTGAAGCCTATCTTCCTAGATTGATCTCATGTTGCTTCTTCTCACATACCATACAGCAGAGCCTAACTGGCCTGCCTGACCTTTTCTATACATGATTTTACATTTCTTGCCTCAATAATGTTGCACAGATTCAGTCCTTGATACCTTAATATTGTCTTCCTCTCAATTTATCTCAGAAACCCTAGTTCCTTTTAAAGTTCAGATTAAAAGTCACCTCCTACATGAGGTGTTTTGGGTTTTTTGTTTGTTTGTTTTGGTTTTTTGATTATGGTTTTTGAGTCCCCTACACTTTATATTATTAACATGAAGCACAGAGCCTGGTACACAGTAAGTCTTAAAATGCTTTTTGCATTGAATTGAATCATAAGAGTCAGCATGATGCTGTAGCCAATCTTCTATAAGGACAATATACAAATCTGAAGGAAAGAAGTTAAGTACTGCAACTTCACAAAAAGGAAAAAAAAGCATAAGCCAGAAGGGTCCTGGGCTTGGATACTTGCTATGCCATTTGTGGTTTTGGCCAAGCCATTGAAATTCACTAGATATGAGTTTCCCCATCTTTAAAAGGAAGAATTGGATTACAGAAATAATTCTTCACTTGAGTCTGTGAATCATTTTGGTAATATTTTGGTAATTGTATTACAAAATAATTGATTTATAATCCCACCAATTTTATTTTGTAATTTATAAACACCTTTATGATAGGTGGTATATAGGCTTCACCAGCTTGCAAAAAGGGTTCTTGTCATAGATAGATAGATAGATAGATAGATAGATAGATAGATAGATAGATAGATAGATAGATGATAGATAGGTATTTGGATAGAATGATGGATGGATAAAGCAAAAGGAGAAAAAAAGAAAGATCTGGACGAGAGTAGAAAGCATCTCAAATACATACATATATGTGTGTGGCATGTGTTTATACATACATACATATATATATATATATATACACACACACATACACATTCACAGAATTCCAGAAATTGTCTTCTATAAACATGAATTGTTCCAGATTTCTAATAACAAACTTTGACTTATAAAATCATCTATGTGGATAAAACCATAAATACCGTGCATTATAGGTATTGAATCAATGTTTGTTACTTCATTAATTCATTAAACATAGTCACAGCTTTCTTTTATAAATTTGAGATCATTTGAGGCAGAATAAAAACCCAACATAGAATGTCATTAATATAGACCATAACAGAAGGGAAGGCAGATCAGGGAAGGTCATAGACAGAAACAAAACACTGGTGAGGAGGGAAAGGGTGAAAGGAGAGAGAGGACAGACAGGAGGAAGAATAGGATGAAGGGAAATACACAGGTTGTAATCATAACTGTAATGTGAATGGGATGAATTCTCCCATAAAATGGAAGTAGGTAGCAGAGTGAACAAAAAAACCCCAGAATCCTACAACATGTTGTTTATAAGAAATACACTTGAAGCAGAGAAACACACACTGAGTAAAGGTAAGGGGCTGGAGCAGAATCTCTTATGCCTCAGCTGAAGTAAAAAAAAAAAAAAAGCAGAGACAGCAATCCAGACCTCAGAAAAAGTTAAAGCAAAAATAGTCCTAATTAAAAGAGATAAAAAAGAAAACTGCATCTGCTAAAAGGTACCATAGACAATGAAGCAATGTCAATACCAAACATATATGCATCAAGTGGTATAGTATCTGTATTCTTAAAGGAGAAGTTAAGTGAGTTACAGGAAGAAATAGATAGCAAAACCATACAACTGAGGGACCTGTCGCCTCTCAAAACTTGATAAATCCAACCGAAATAAACAAGAAAGAAAATAAGGGAGATAAAAAGAATATTAGAAAAGTTAGATATGATAAATCTTTGGAATGATATAGACATAAAAGGTGAAACCATAAGCAAATTAGAAGAGCAAGGAATAGTCTACCTGTCAGATCTATGGTGAAGGGGAGAATTAATGACTAAGTGAGATAGAGAGCATTACAAAATATAAAATACATAATTTTGATTATATTAACTTAAAAAAATTTTGTACAAACAAATCAATGCAACCAAGATTAGAAGGACAGCAGAAACCTGGGAAACAATCTTTACAGCAAGTGTCTCTGATAAAAGCCTAAGTAATCAAATATATAGAGAACTGAGTCAAATTTACAAGAATACAAGCCATTCCCCAATTAATAAATGGTCAAAGTATATTAACAGGCAATTTTCAGATGAAGAAATCAAAGTTATCTATAGGCATATGAAGAAATACTCTCACTTTTGATTAGAGAAATGCAAATTAAAACAACTCTGCCATACCACTTCACACCTATCAGATTGGTTAATATGATAGAAAAGGAAAATGATAAATACTGGAGGATGTGGGAAAATTGGTATACTAATGCACTGTTGGTGGAGTTATGAACTGATCCAACCACTCTGGAGAGCAATTTGGAAGTATGCCTGACGGGCAACCAAACTATTTGATCTAGCAATACCCCTACTAGATCTGTATCCCAAAGAGATCATAAAAAAGGGAAAAGAACCTACGTGTGCAAAAAATATTTATAGCAGCCCTTTTCATGGTGGCAAAATATCAGAATTTGAGGGGGTGCCCATTATTTGGGGAATAATTGAACAAGCTGTGGTATATGAATATAATGGAATACTACTGTGCAATAAGGAATAAACAGGCAGATTTCAGAAAAACCTGGAAAGACATGTAAGACCTGATGCAAAATGAAATGAGCAGGACCAGGAAAACATGCATACAGTATTAGAAACATTGAGTGGTGATCAACTATGCATGGCTCAGCTCTTCTCAGGAAAACAATGATCCAAGACAAGTACAAAGGACTGACAAAGGGAAATGCTATCCACACCTAGATAAAGAACTGATGGACTCTGAATGAGTGAAGCATCTTTTCACTTATTTTATTCTTTCTCATGGTTTATTTTCCTCCTCTTGATCTGTTTCTTCTTTCACAACTTTGACTAATATGGAAATATTTTTACATGATGGCACATGTACAATGTATATCAAACTACCTACCATTTTCAGAAGATGGGAGAGGAAGGAGAGCAGAAGAAAAATTTGGAATTCAAAATCTTGTAAAAATGAATGATAAAAATTTTCTTGACATGTAGCTGGGGAAAAATAAAATACTATTAAAAATAAAATTAAATATAGACCATAAATGTTTTGATGTCCAGGACTGTTTTCTTTTGTCCTTGTATCCCCAGCATCTAGAATATCCTGTACCTAGTAGGAAGTAGTTAAATGCTTAATGAAGGAACTAAATAAAGGAATATAAAGGCCAACATGATATGGATCTTTATATATGTGTGTGCCAATTAACTGGGAATCTCTGCAGATGCTTAAAAAGTGCTCAGATATAACAATTTCAATTAGACTTCAGGAATTGAGCATATAAATATATATTCCCAATAAGATAAGAGGCCATCCTTGAAAATGTTTTGTTCCTTTTAACTTTATCTTTTTATCCTTTATCCTTTATCCTTTTAACATTGATCATATAGGATTGTAATTATACACCTGCCCTAATGAAGAGACTTTTTATATTTATGCATTTTTCTTTTAAGACATCTAAGTATAATGAAGGATGGGAGATTTCTAAGCATCATCTTTAATTTTTAAAACAAAAATATACAAAACCCTTTTTTTTGTTTCCTGTAAAAATTTTTAAAAGGTAAAACTTGTCTTATTGAAGATGATCATTTCCTTTGAAAGAAGCTCCCTGGCAAAAAGTACATCTTAAAGTTGAATTACTGACAACTTAAAAGGAGGAAGCAAGAAATAACCCTAAATAAACAAAACAAAAACTTGTCATGCAGCATACATAGAGAAAATAGCATCTGTAATGAAAGTTATTTTTCAATTAATGTAACTATCAATTCAAATGTAGATTAATCCAACCCATTTCATGTTTTACAGGAAATATTGATGAAGCTGAGCGTGAATGGAAAGCAGGATTCCGTCGCTGGAACAGTTATATGATGGACTGGAGAAATCAATTTAATGATTATACCAGCAAGAGGCAGAGCTGTGCAGGTCTCTAATTAATAGGCCTAGCCTTTCAGGAATGCCCCTATTGCTGTGGATCAAGGCAATTGGGCTGGTAGCTCACTTGTAAGCCTCAAAAGGAAGCTGTTTTATAGCTGAACCCAAATGCCAAGAGGACAATATTGATTCCTCATATATTCTCCTTGTATTTTACCTTTTGTTTCAGGAAACAATCCATTTGACAGGCCAAAGTAAAATGTACACATTAAAGCTTGACCATGAATTTATGGGCAAATTGCAACCTTTAGCTATTTAAAATTCCTCTACCCAGAAGCCTTTTAAAGTTTTTAAAAAGTATATTTGCAGTCTTTTGAGAAAAATGCTCTACTATACTGAAAGTCACTGATTTTATTTTTATTATACCTTTTTTTTTTCTTTTTAAGACTGCATTTGCCTATCTTGCCTAGGCTGAAAGAGTAGTGGTCTCTCTAAGGTTCAATCTAGTTCTGATTGGCACACAAACTTTGACCTGCTCTATTTTTTTATCTAGGCTGTCTTCCCCCTTCTTAGGCAGCCAGTTGCCATCCCCCAATACTCATGGACTCATAATGGTGGTGGATTTAGTGTAGATTTCCAATCGATTTCAGTCTCTGAACTCCAAAACCCCAACTACCCAGCAATCTCTGCTTTCCCAGCAGCAAAGACTCTAGGCATGTACAATCATGTCCAACTTTATATTAGCTCTCTAAATTTAGGTCCTGTTTCTCAAGTATCCCTTTTCAAAGGGATGAGAGATAAAAGGGAACTTAAAGATCATTTAGGACAATACCTCATTTTACAGTGGGAGAAACTGAAGCCCAGAGAGAAGAAAATATTTGCCCTAGCTCTCAGGAATAGTAAAGTAGTGGATCTGTGATTTTTACTCCAAATGTACCATTCCTTTTACAATATCATTATGCCTTTATCTGGCTAATTTACCTGGCCATTTATTTAATGTTAACCAGTACAAAATGATAACACCTTCCCCCAAAATTCCTAGTGTCTTTGAAAGACTAGAACACACAATTATCATACTAGCAATAATGGTTATTGTTTTGAATAAGTCATTAAAGCCTGAGCCTTCTAAATTTACTTAATTATTTTGATTAAGCTGCAATTTCATCATTGTGGGTTCTTAGAACAATGACACCAACCACAACCCACACACACTTTCTGAACCTTTATAATTCTTGAGTTTTGCCTATTCTCTTCTATAAATGACCTCCCTTTCCAATGCGCCAGAGGCCATCCTCTGGATCCTTTAATATTTGGTGGAATGTAACATAACATGTAGGCTTTCCAATCATTAGAATGCAATTTCTTTGAGAGTAGAAAACTATTTCACTTTTATGTGTTTATTCCCAGAGCTTATCAGAGTGTCTACTAGGAAACAATATGTTTTTTGTAGATTCACTGGTTTTATATAAATACATACATATATAAATATACACATATACACATATATGTATAACTTACCCTCCCTACACACACACACACACACACACACACACACACACACACACACATACACACACAATGTGGCAAGCCGCTTAAACTAATTCAAATAACTGAATGGTGTTTAGCTGTCAAGGGAGAGGAAGAAACCATGGAACTATCCAAGGTGCTAAAGTCTAGATACTTTTACAACAGGAAATACTAAGATTTCAGTGAATAAATGGTTATGATTTCTGCAGATAATAAGTCAAAGTCAGAATCAACTTACTTCTTTCATATATAATAACTCAGGTCAAAATTTAGGTAGACACAGGGCCTCACTGATAAAACAGGACACAACCACATGAAAAGAACATCATACCCTTACAAAAATGCTGTATCTATAGGGAAAAAGTGTTTATGTCTTCTTGTTGAAAGCACCATCTTTAAAAAAAATCTATTTGATTAGCAATAAGTTTCAACAATGCTGATTCCCATCTTCGTTGTTGAGAGGACCAAGTTTTTCAAGCAAGGTTATAATAGTTTAAAAAGTATAGATACAACCTCCAGTGTTCTAATTATATGCTTGTATTTTAGAAGGACTCAAAGAATTTTAGAACTAGAAAGGACATGTTACATATTAGAAATAACTTTTTTGTTCCTTATTTTGCTTATTGAGCAACTGAAAAAAACTTAAATATTAACTGTGTTCAAGAAAAAGGCAGCTTGGTATAGAAAACAGGTCTAAGAATCAGGACTAGGCTTCAAGTACCACCTATGACACAAACTGTGTGACCCTAGGCAAGTAATATACCCTCTCAGTCATAGGAAATTTTCAAAAATGATTTTCATAAGAGTTGGCCATTTGAATTGATAGAGAATGTTTTGTCATCTGTAGTTATCTTTACATGAATCAGATCAGTTTGTATGGAATAAATTATATATGTGTATATACACACATACATGTATACACATATATATGTATATACATATGTGAGTATATTTAAATACATACACATAGTATGTATATGTATATATATATATATACATAGAGAGAGAGAGAGAGAGAGACTTTAAATGTCACTGATCTCTGACTTTCACACACTTGTAGTCTAGGAGGGCAATACAATTAATACACAAATTGTTATAATGCATTATATGGAGGTTGGAAAAATTGAGAATTTGTAAGTCAGTCTGTGAACTTGTTTTTAAATACACTTTTATAACTTCATTTTGATATATTGGTTTTTTTTGTAATGCTGTAGGGGCCCACAGGCTTTATCCACTGTTCAAAGGAGGCAATGACAGGAAAAAGTGAAGAAGTTGTGGCTCTTGGGTCTGTTTCATCTCTGTCTCTGTCTCTGTCTCTGTCTGTCTCTCTTTCTCCATGTATACATATATGTATGCACATATATAGATGTACAGATATGTACTTATTCATGCAGTTATATCACCAGGGTCATAGAATGTTAAAATTTGAAGACGTCCTAGAAGGTACCAAGTTTAATCATCTTTTTGTATATAAAGAGAGAATCAAAGACAACATTGCTTGCTCAGGTTCAAAAAGGTAATTAAAAGAAGAGGTAGCACTTGTACCCATTATTTTTCTACAGGGATCTATTATTTTCTTAATAGTCTAACCATGTGCCTAAGAAACCTATTTAGCCACGATTTGCCAAATTACAAATTCTACAGTTTAGACCAAAAGTCCTACCATTCCAATAAAGGACATGCACCCACTGTGCGCAGGTTAAGGTTAAAATGCCTAAAAGTTCAAGAGAAGGAGGAAAAGGCATGGTCGTTTTTCTAGCCTCCTTCCATTGTTACAGGTTGAATAGTCAGAAGGCCATGGTTATTCCCCAACTTTCCTCCATTGTTACATATTATCCATCATCAAAGTAACTGTTATCCTCAAGAGAACATTGATGATGCCACTGAGAGGAGGAGGGAAAGGAATTTATGATTCAGTAAGACTATACCATTATAAGTCTTCATTAGTGGTCCAAGGAAAGAGGCAAGAAAACAAAGGGGTCCTCTTTGCATCCTAGCTGAGTTACCCACAGAAGCAATTTAAGACTATCTGGGAGGGAATTGGTCCTCCTAACTATTCCAGAGTGACTGGAGTGGGGAGGGTAGGGAGTACCCAGGGAATCAGCACCTATCTTACATTGTGTTTGCTGGACTTACCATAAAGTCAGAGGCAAGAAGATTTAGATCTAAAACCACTACCTAACACATGCTGTGTGAACATAGGCAAGTTACTGAAAATTGTTGAACCTCCCTTTCCACATCTATAAAAAGAACATTTACCAACTCCACAGGATTATTGTGTGGTTCAAATGCAAAGACATACATAAAGCACTTTGAAAATTTTAAAGCACTATATAAGTGATATCATTATAATTTTTTTCTCATCCTTGTGTTTTTTTTCCTTTATATCCCATTGAAATTATAATTAAAGATACTGAGTGTATATCCCATGGTGCTAATTCACCCAAGCAAAGATTTTTTTTTTAATTTGGGGGAGTGAATAAACTTTGTTTTTACAAAGCATATTAAGAAACTCTGTGTTTGTTGTCCCATGGACAAGAAATTGAGAATGCTAGGGCTATTTAAGTGATAGATTAAAACTTAAGGACATGATTTTCTCAAATGCCAATAAAAATAAAAGTAATTTCTAGAAGATCAATGTAAATAAATATATTCAGGACTCAAAAGGCTTATGGAAATTGGGTATGTAAAACAGAATCTCAGGGTTAGGAATGGCAGGTAGGCAGGGCCATAAGGCAGAAAGAACATTGACTTCTAGAGTAAGAGAAACTGGATTCACACCCCGCCTCTTTGGAGCTGACTGGCCTTGTAACCTTAACCAAGACATTCCTAGGGTTTCAATTCCCTAAACTCTAAAATCAGGGAATTAAAAAAGATGTCATTTTAGGCCCCTTCCAGATCAAAACTTGTGATCCTATCAAAATATTTGTTTTTTTTAATATGACAATTTAATAAATACAACTTTAATTAAAAATATATTAAGCTACTAAGGCCTACTAGTTATTGAAATACAAAGATTAACACAAAACAACCCCTGCCCTCAAGGATCTTATACTAGGGAATACAATGTTCACACATGTACACACAAAAATAAACACAAAGAATTTATAAAGCACTTAGAGGTAGTGTGTCACATTAGAAAGTGTTCAAGAAGTTTAGTGTCTAATGGGGGAAATAATATACAAACAACTATGTACCAAGAAGCTTGACACAAAATAAATTTGAAATAATCAATAGATGGCAGGATTAAGGGGGATTAAGAAAGGCTTCCTCTAGAAGGGAGACTTTTAGTGGCAAAATGAAGGAAGGAAGACAGGAGGCAGAGAGGATGAGGAGAGTATTCCATGAATAGAGGCCAGTCAGTGAAAATATATACATTTGGGAGATGGAGTGTTTTGAGCTTTGAATAAGGTAGCCAGAATCACTGGATCACAGTGTATGTGGAGATACAGATATGTAAGATGCAAGACGACTGGAAAGGTGAGGGGGCAGGTTATGAGGGCTTTGAATAGCAAACACGGGATTTTTCTTTGTACTGGAGGAGGGAGGAAGGGAGAGAGAGAAAGAGTGAGAGAGAGAGAATTTGTGGCAGGCAGATGAACTAGCAGACTTTTGCCATAATTTCAGCATTAGGTGATCAGGGCTTGTACCAGGATCAGAAGAAAGAAAGGAACACACATTAGAGATGTTACTGGGTAGATGATGGTACCCTCAATAGTAATAAAAAGTTAGGAAGAACAAACAATTTAGAGGGAAAATATTGAGTTCAATTTTGGACATGTTGAATTTAAGATGTCTCTGAGAAAAATGGGATTGAATGTTGCCTCTGTCATTATCTTTGTGACCTTGAGCTATCCATCTGACTTCTTTGGATCCCATTTTCCTTTTTTTATAAATGGAAAGATTTATAGTAGTTGGTTCCTAAAATCTCTTTCAGTTCTAAATCCACAGCACCATTATCTTAAAAGATAGACAATGCAAAGTGATTTTAATAAGTATAGTACACTAACCACAAAGGGTTGGGAATCAGCAAATGCCTTCTGTATGCCAGTAGGGCCACTTTGAAGGAATTGCTAGTTAATGTCATTGCTTGCTAGCTCTCAGAGAGGTGGACCAGATTAAGGGAAAGAGTTGGTCTTGAGTTCCAAAGATCTGGATTGAAATCCTGATTCTGACACGTGCTGCCTGTTTTACGCTGAGATTGTCAATTAATCCCCCAGGGCTTCTAGGCAAATCTTAAAACTTATAAATTACCCAAGAGTTGCTTATCTGCTTTAATTAATGGATTTATCATATTTTATTTTTACCAAGAAGGTCCCTACAACCAAGAAATTACAGGTCACTACTAAAATATAAAACAGTAAACAAAGAAACAAAACCTCCAAGTCTCATTCACAATTAGAGAAGTAAATTACTTAGTTGAAATATGCAAACAGTTCTGATGAAGGATAAGAAAAACTGAGCTCCAATTCCAACTTTGAGCATAAATACTAATTGCACAATGGTTGATTATCTCATCTCTCCAAAAGGGAAAGTAATGATTCCTGCCAGCTCCACTAGCTGTTGTTCAGATTAATTACTTAATGATTATAACAGTAACTATGCAA